TCATATAGGTGATCCCTCCTTTGAAGGACAAGATATTAACTAGGCTCACTTATTCCACTATGGTGACGCTAAGATGAAGTAGCGAAAAATACAGTGTTATGTCAGTCGTAGCACCTCATTTTGAAACTTTCATTAAGACTTAATCTCACAAACTGTAATCCTTAGCAGAAGTGACAAATAATTTCTCTAATGTGTACACACTTGATTGCCTTGAACTTTCTTTTTTGCATTTCAACAAATTGTTCCCTTGTTTTCTTCAGTTTGGGCAGGTGGAGCTGACCCCACTGCAACGTTTTTTGAGGCAACTACTTTGGCGCGATCTGAACCGCAACTCTATTAACTCCGTACTCAAAATCTTACGGAAGGTTGACTGGAATGACGCTTTGGTAAGTCTGAGACCTTGGAAGCCAGCTGATTATGGCACAACTTCTGTTCAAAAGTCACTTTTGCATCACATTCTCCAGCTAGTATCGTTCATGGAGGGGCTCTTCACAAGTAGTTGGCAAGTGCGCTTCCAGTACATCGGTTGCCTAGCCAGCGTCCTTTCGGGTCTCTCGCTCTACCACAAAGACTTCGCTGTCGCTGTTGTCGACAATGTCATTGAAGACGTGCGTGTTGGAATGGAGGTACGTAATTTGAAAGCATACTGAATCACGAATTTGAATGTAAGGTCTTGAAGCTGTCCCTTTTCTCCTCTTTGCCATTTGATTTTTTGCATAGTTATTTCCGATTTTCCGTAAAGCGAATCAATGTATACATTTCAAGATCTTCTATATTTTGAATTTCTAAGATCAAGTAATCAACTCTAATGCTATTATGCTCCAGAAAAATGATCAAACAATGAATCAACGGCGGCTGAGCATGGTGAAGTACCTTGGCTTGCTTTACAACTACAAACTTGTCGAATCTCCGGTTATATTTACAACCCTCTATTCGCTCATCACCTTTGGTGTCAGCCTAGACTGTAAGTATTCGTTTTTGCCCTTACTTGGAGCATTCCTCTTTCTCTACCTACAGATCTCAGTCCAAGTCTAATCGATCCACCCACTTCTCTGGCGCGAATTCCCCTAGTTTGTACTCTATTGGAGACCTGTGGGTCTTACTTCGACCGAGGCAGTCGGCGGAAGAAACTCAATATTTTTGTTGTCTACTTCCAGGTAAGTTTCATATCATCTATAACTCATTCCTCTTTTTCATT